TTACTTTGATGGGTGTAATGTCTGCTTCTGTTATGATCAGGTAGGCTTTCACATTTTGTTTATTAGTAATTCCTTCTCTACTGAATATATAAAACGGACTTAATGATATGAAAACCACTTTAGTTACGAGAGTCTGTATTGTGGACGGCAACATTTTAGGAGTATAGGTCTAGACAAGTAGCTATCAATTTAAAGAAGAGTTGTATAATGTGAGAATAAAGATCATCCAGAAAGGACAGCATCCAGCGAACGCATCCTCGACCTAGAACAGCAACATAGAACCATTGACACAGAATCAATAGCTGGAGGGGGACACAAGGACGGGACAAGAACGGGACACTGCAATTGGAATGTTCATCGGATTTATTAAATTTAATTGCTTAATCAAATACATGTACAATCTTTTTTATGAATAAACAAATGAATATTCCTTTAAATATAAATAATGTTTCAAACACAACATACTAATTTTTATTCTAAAAAATTGATAATAGTTATATCAGGGATTATTCCATGTCTGTTAAAACGTATCCAGTATTGGTCAATTAATGGATTAAAATTGTGTGAAGTACAAAATAATTTCTGAAAACGATTTCCCACAAATTAGACACAATACTATCTAATATATTTTTGAACAGTTTTATGATAATTTATTTTCTAACATTTCAGAATATATCACAATGCACGAAGAAATGGTGTAAATGGAATAAATGTTACCAAATTGAAAAGGAAGAAAAGTAAGAAAATAATTCAAGTCGTCAGAGAAATACATAACGTCTCGTTTCCATTAAAGTTTGAACCCGAAATGAGTATAACATATATATAGATACGCAATATAAGGAATATCTTCTTGATATCTTCTTCAAAATATAAATACAAAATGTATAATATTTGAAATGAAAGGGTATGTACAAAGTAAATAATAATAAAAGTTTAAAAGTCAGACTGGTATCATGGTCATTTTATTCAACAAACTCATAGAAAACTTTTTACAACTTGTTCTAAGTAACACCCATGTGAACTATGTTTATAGATCAATAAAAAAAATTAATGATCAACTAAGTGTTCAGTACGGATGTTATAAAAAAAATGTACATATTGTTTACGTAAAGACAGTTTAGGGTAGAAGCCCGCGTGTTCTAAATAGCTATGACACTTTGTGATCCTGATTTCAAACATATCAAGACCTAACAAAATAAAATTATATCAACTCATTTTTTGAAAATAATACACGGTTTATTTCTTTGGAAATTGAAATACAGTTTTTACTTAATTATTATATATTTTCAGAGCATTTCAATAATCAACCATTTTGTGTTTGCACCAATATATCTTTTCTTTTATTTTAACGGAATGATACATGTACAAAAAGTAAAAACAAAGTATTTTTATCAATAACGTAGTTGTTTGTCCGATTGAAGTAATATTTTTGAAATTCCTTCATTTTTCATAAAACCCCGTTTTACTCTTTCTAATATATGTTTAACGTACGTACAATATTTAATAGCATAATGAGTAAAACAAACTATCAAATCATACTTTGAGAAATGTTTTAAATATTTACAATCCATGGGAAATGCTGATGTATGTATGCAAATATGTGAAGGATCTCCTTGGCCGAGAAGATAATGTCACCTACTTGAAATTCACGACCGTGGATATAACTCCTATTAAAGAATTTTGATTCTTTCTTTTGAGAAAGCTATCCTGCTAGCTTACGGAACGTCGATGGCTCTACTCATGAACCGGCTCGTACTTTACATACGGCACGACGGGGCACCTGAGATTTTCCTGCAGAAGTAAAGCTGAAAAGCTATCGAATTAGCTATGAAGATTTTATCAAATTACACTATTTTATCCATTACAGAATAAAAGAAAATATTTTGTTAGTTATTAGAACCGGTCGGAGGTCAAAAGAGACAAAAAGTATTACGGTCAATTTAAAGTAATAAAAGTAACTGACCAATCATAAACGGGGTGTTATATCTTTATGAAATTAGACAAACACTTGCAGTGTTCTATCAAGCGTTGCGACACGGATCATTTTCAGTAGGATGCGTCATTTTGAAAACAATCATGGCGGACGGATCGTTGGCGCAGAAGCGGAAACAATTTTAGCATAAATATATTATTTCATGATTCAATGGTTGTGGGAGAAAGGCCTAAATATTTCGAACGATATCAAGGCAATAGATACGTAAATACCAAAACCATGCTGTTGGCAGATGGATACAGAAATTAAGAACGGCTGAAGAAGCCTTTTTCTAAAGCATCCATCATTCTGAAAGACAGCGGTCAGCAACTGACGATATAAATATAAATACTGAAAAAGTGTCATTAATTTTAATTAATATAAGATCGAATAATAACTTTACTAAAAATGACTTAGCTGCTAAAATTGGAGCCATGAACAACAAGGAACAGTTAGCTTATTATCTGAATACCAAATGGTTTACGCATCACAATTACAATCACAAACTGTAACCAAATGAACTAAATTTTATTAAGAGACCATTTCATTTCGAGAACCACTATTTTACATTCTTTTGAGGGGTCTCTTAATACAATGTCGATTTTACGTTTTTAACAGCATGTTCAAAGCCATTAGTCACTCACCATTGATTCATTTTAGTAATTTAACAGTTACGTTACTTGTCTTATCAATATTCATATTAGTACAAAATGATTTATATTAGTCAAGTTAAACATTTAAATGACACACTGTAGAACTGCGGTTCTCAGTTTCTGAGGAGTTCGAACAAGTTTTGTGACGGACGGACGGAGAGACAAACAGACGACGAAGAAGTGATATATGTATGTCGCCACAACTCTGTAAAGGCGAAACACAAAAATTGCGGCCTTGACAATCATATCAACAGCATATGGTTCCTGACCATGTTTTTGATTTTTGGTGATCACATTACAAATCACAAAAACAAATTATGCTGAAAATGCACATCACAATAAAGACCACCAGTCATTTAAACAAATTCCAAAAAATCCATTTGAAGCTGTGGCTTCAATAACTGTGGTGATCATGTGTGAACCTCATACCAATGAAGATACATGTACTTCATACGAAATAAAGAGGGACAATCTGCTGCACTCGTTACTTTTATTTTGGATCGAGAAAAAATGTTCGAGTGTACAATGTGACGTCATTTATTCATATTGTGCCTCGTGTTCGGCGGGCCGATTACGATTATGAATTTTGGGTCCCCGGCCGCAAACTCATAATTAGTCACTTGACACTCATAATCAGCAACATTTCAAAGTCAGTTTTTAAGTGTATATAGTAAGAAGTGCATGAAAGGGAAATTAGGTTTTTAGCACGGATCGTTTGATTTTATTATTACAACTTAAGCTAGTTTTGTACAAGCACGGTCTCATTAAAAATGAAAGGCCATAAGTGACAATTTTATTCCGATAAAATTCTACAGTACAGTATTGGACTTTTTAAGTGTGTATATACATACAGGAAGCAACTCTGTATAAGTAATTGTAGACTCTTCATTAGGCCTTTAGAACAATGTCAACGTGACAGAAGTATTAAGTAGATCTTATTAGATATAGTGCTACTATCAATTGTATATCAGAGATTCATACACGTTATAGATGGTCAGGAAGGTGATAATCGGTTGTAAAATGAATTAAGCATTTTGGCTGAAGTCTTTGGGAACGTTATTTTTTACGGACCGATTATCACCTTTAGGCCCTACTTTGCCGTTTATTAACTTCTTATTAAAGATCCTGTATGCTTTGTGATTGATATTTTTACTGTCTGTATACGTGTGTGTGTATTTGCGTTTATTTATACTCGCCACCGGTTGCCCATATGGGCGAGCCCTCCAGAAGAGTATTAGTCATTTTATTTTTCGAAGGATAGTGCAATTACAGATACAGAAAGATGCCCCAATTCCAGAAGCTTCTCCTGGTTCTTTAGCGTGCCAAGTGTTTAAGCACCCATACACGGGACCTCGATTTAAAGTCTCATCCGAAAGACTGATTAGTAATTTTAGTTGGCCAGCCCGGGAATCGAACCCACAATGTCGAGATTGCAAGTCTCGCGCTCTAACCACTGTATACCACACTTGCAAAAGAATATATATGTATATAATTATGCAAATAAAACAATTTTCAAACATCCAAGAATATGTAAAATGTGTACTGCAAATATTTGTGCACATTATATGTAATCAATAAATTGCATGCATTCATTTCTTATTGGAACATTTGACTGGGAATTTATAGAAAATAACTTTCTAATTACCTCCCTTTATTTACATGAAATGTTAAATTGGGTAATATCGTTATAAATAATGCTTTTTGGAACTTACAATATTGACAAATCTTAATTGAGGATCATATTTTTGAAATAAAACCATGAAAAAATTGTGTTACAGGATCTTTAAGGCAACGACAGGGTAAACACACCTTGAAATATAAGTAGGGTAAACGCGCCATGTAGACGGCGACAGGGTAAAACATACTTACTTTATAAGCAGCGATAAAGTAAAACCTTCATGTAAGCAGTCAAAAAGCTAACACGCCATGTAGGCAGCAAGAGGGCAAAAACGAAAGACTGTTAACTAGCAATGTAAGCAGTGACAGAGTAAATAATCCATGTGTTTAGTAAGAAGGTTAACTCGCCAAAGGTTTAACACGCCATGTAGGCACTGAGAGAGTGAGTGTTATGGTATAAAGAAAGATAACGTATTTAGAAACATTTCAACTAGTAATTAAGTTACGTCCCTTCAATTGTAATTCTATTGCTATGTTGTACTGTATATTTAACATGCTCCTCTCCGATACTTTATGTTAACACGCCTAGTGAGCATGGAGAGGGTTCGCCATGTTGACTTTAGGAAGTAATACTGTCATGTATTAATAAGCATATTTGAAGGTTAACTATTTATATCATTTTTCAGCCAATGAACGTAATGTTATTTTTGTCAAACAGTAAGATCAAAAATCATACAATAACCTTATCCGAAGTTTGACGGAAAGGGCCGAGAAGATGCGATTGGATCATAACTGTGAATTTACAACAACCTTTCAGTGTTTTTATTTTAAGAATATTTGTTAAATTTTAATAAATATTTTATCTCATTGTGTTAACTTTTACGTGTTAAATATGAAATACTGATTAAACTATGAAATACTGTTAAACATAAAACCACAAGATGTTCTTCGATAAGCATAACCCCATATAGGGGTATATTTCAAAATGTGTTGGATTCAAATTTGGATATGAATTAATTCCAAACGTAACTAACAAAGGTAAGTACTTTAGAAACATGCTAAAATATATACATGCAAGAAAAATATGATAAAGGTTGGGCATTTATGTGAGGATTTTTTAAAATACCAAATGAGCCGCGTCATGACAAAACCAGCATAATGGGTTTGCGACAAGCATGGATCCAGACAAGGCTGCGCATCTGCGCAGTCTGATCAGGATCCATGTTGTTCGCTTACAAACCCTATAACAAGTAGAGAAACTGATAGCGAACAGCGTGCATCCTGATCAGACTGCGCAGATGCGCAGGCTGGTCTGGATTCATGCTGATCGCAAACCCATTATGTTAGTTTTGTCGTGACACGGCTCAAATTATATCTTGATATCCATCGCTTAAGGACAATATTCATAGTAACAATTAATTTGTTGAAAGTATCATGGACATTTTTTAAAGTCTTAGTTTGTAGAATATTAATTGGTTGTCTACCGTTAACAAAATATGTTTAACGTGAAGTACTTTATCTCCATTAGCAACCCGCATGCCCACGTAGGACGGTATAATAGTAGAATGTTTACTTAGCAACAAAATGGCCGACACGCGACAATTTAATCAATAATGTATCGATTGCGCTTGAAATAAATACTAATAGGCATGCTATTTGAAATTCGCTTCGCGGTTCAAATTGATATTTGAATGGGTATAATTGATATATAGAAAAATTATCACATTCCCTGATAAACGTAATAATGACAATTTATTAAATGATTTATTATTGAGAAGACAACCTTTTCAGACCTTTAATACAATGTAACAGGATATATGCTATATTTTTATTTCGGTGAAACATTAACATTATATTTACATTTTGTATATTTTAAAATGTGGCATGTAATCTCGAATATCCTCCCTCCCCCCACCCCGCGAAATATAGCTGTTCGACAGACGCTTTTGACGATTTATGGCTTCGAATTTCAATGTCAATAATGGAATCATTTAGAAAAAACAAACGAAAATGTCGTGAAGGTGACTGCGTAAAAGACTGCGAGAGTGTTGCAATGCTTGCTCAGCGATATTAACTGTATGATTGTGATAATGACAATGAGTGTATGATAATTATTAACCTCTAAATTATTTATGATTTAAAAGACGATTATGATTTTGTAAATGACGATAACTGAATAAAGGGAACCAATAAGAGTCAGACAATGATAATGATGAAAGTGTTATAGCAAATCATTAAAGATGCTGCTGATGATAATTATGATGATGATGATGATGATGATGATGATGATGATGATGATGATGATGATGATGATGATAATGATGATGATGAAGATGATGTGACATCAACAGCTCAATTATGATAATTATAATGACGATGATGTTGTGATTTTATCAGTCTAGCAACCTAAGGTTGGCAGCGTATCAACTTAAAGAAAAAAAAAACACGAAAAGGGTCGAAAATATATCAGTAGCACTTTGTTAGACACTGTCACGTCTTTTTTCAATAGCGGGATCTTTATTTTATATGATATTCATCTTTTAAGCTTTTTATTCTGGCGCATCATCGAAATTTGTGAAGTTGGTATCCTACCAGCCTTACGAAAACTAAGAATATTAAAATCAAAGACATTATAAGTATTTCCGCCTTTTTAAATACAGTAATCTTTAAATTTTAAGATGTTGAACTTTTTGGAAAAACATTCTGACACTTCGAATTTGTGAAGTTAGCAACCTAGCAACCTGGCAGCCCAAATGGAACTAAGGATGCAACAAATATGAAAACGGACGAAAATGCATCAGTAGCACTTCCTAATGTCATTTCATGCCTTTTACAATATCGTGATTTTTATTGTTTTAAGGTGTTGAACTTTTTTTCTTTATTCTGATGCATCTTCGTAACTTGTGAAGTTAGCTGCCTAGCAGTCTAAAGAATTGAGAACATTACACACATAATAACGCATTTCTGACCGTTTTCATGTTTGTATTATCCTTAGTTTTCTTTAAGCTGCCTGGTTGCTAGGCTGTTTGGCTGCTAACTTCACAAATTTCGAAGATGCGCCAGAATGAAAAGAAAATGTAAATAGGCGTGGAATGATCTAAGGAAGTGTCACTTATGTATTCCGGCCGTTTCCATGTGTGTTATATTATTAACCTTCACACATTTTGAAGGGTTAGAATAAAAACCACTAAAGTTCAACATCTTAAAAAATAAAGATCATGATTTCCAAAAATATGCGTTGATTTATCTAAAGGAGTACTATTGATGCATTTCCGACCGTTTTTTTATGTGTGTACTATTCTTAATTTTATTCAGGTTGCTAGACTGCTAACTTCACAAATTTCGAAGCGTCAGAATTAAAACCACTAAAGATCAACATCTAAAAAAAATACAGATCATGATATTGAAGAAAAAGCGTCGAATGCTATAAGGAAATGCTACTGATGCATTTATTTTCATGTTTGTAAAATGTTAAGTTTTCTTAATACTTAATACTAGGCCATCAACTTCACGAACATAAACAAACAATATATCGTTGATAAATACAGGTTACTTGATTGTAAATGTTACATGTCACAAAATTGTGTTTCTTTTTCACAAAAGTCTGAAGAGGTAGTTAGGAATGCACATCTTTTTTTAAATAAGACACACAATTGACTAGTGAACACCCCTCCTCCCTCTCAAAAACACCGAAAACAAAAACAAAAAATTAAAGACGTTTATATTGTATTTTTCTGTGAACAATGTTGTCGATGACTGACAATTTTAAGATAAATAAAGATTACTTATTATAAGAGCAGACTTGCAAATACATTGTAAATATCAAGTAGCCACACATACAAACCAAACAAAGTCTAAAAAAAATTTGGCGGAGAATATTTTGCATTTCCATTTCGTTGTGTTGTGAGCTTTAAAAAAATACAACCTTGAAATCGTCTGTCGTGCACTTGCAATATTGCAATATTTAATAGTCTGAAAAAGAAAATTGACTACAAATCGTTTTCTTTGAAAGGAAGAAAATAATCGGATTCAAGTAATATAGTCATTATTTTATCAATACAAATATGTAATTGATTCAATGAACACATTCCGAATAGAATTGACTGATTTTCGTTCTGTTTAAAATGAAACTCGCCATTGGTCTGTATTATTAAAATCGTGTCTCAATTCATTAGATATGTGACGCAAAAATACCCCCACACAAGAAAGCCAAAGAAGAACTCCTTGAGCTTAACAAAAGAAAACTAAATGTTTGAAAGTAATTAGGTATAAGATTATCGAAACGCATACAAGTGTAAAATCAATATGTCAGTAGTTTGTATTGTATTAACGTAGCGACAGTGTAAAATAACGCTATCATGTGTCCCTTTAAAATTAAAATAAATACCTGTCACAGCAAGACAAGATTGAAAAAACACCTCAACGGATCGCATTCCTATATAATGATTTAAAAGCTTCACGCACGCAAGACTATAATGACTGGTTTAGACAAAGATATAAGTTAACATTCATTTACTGACTTTACCAATGATTTTATGCCTGTATTAATTGATAGTTTGTTTTATCAATGTACATGCAAGTGGAATCATTTGTCTAATGTACTTTATATTTTTATATTTAGTTATAACATTTCTTTATAATTAAAAAAATGCTATTCCATTGCAAATATCAAAATACCAATATTGTTGATAAAAGTACCATACACACCTCTTTTATAACAAAGTCAATAGAACAAAAACATTTCTGACTTTTTTCTATGTAGCAAACACGTTCACGTGATTAAAAGAATTCACTTTTGATCATTTCTACTGTAGCGACTTCAGGACAATTATTTACTTTTTTATAAAAATGTACTTCAACTGCGCCCAACTCGCAAACACCATAGAAATATTATTTATCCAGCAAAACCTCTAACGTTTTGTACCAGTAGAAATATAGACAGGTATACTAAATTAGTAATTTCTAGAAATTTCTACAATAAGACACTCAATAAAATGTTACAACTGCGTATTTACATACTAGCTTTATGCATGTTATATAAAGGGTAGGTAGGTAGGTAGGTAATTGATAGATAGTTAGATAATTGCCGAGTCGTTAAGGTCGTTGACATCAAACCACTTGCCCCTCACCTCTGTGGTTTCGAATCCCGACAAGAACTTTGGATTCTTTCATGTGAGGAAGCTATCCAGCTAGCTTACGGAACGTCGGTGGTTCTACTCAGGTACCCGTTCGTGCCTGAAATAATGCACGGAAGGGCACCTGAGGTCTTCCTCCACCAGTAAAGCTGGAACGTCGCGATATGACCTATACTGTGTCGATGTGACGTAAAACCCAAAACAAAACAAAACAAAAAGTTAGATAATTTATTGACGTGTACATTTAGTACATAGTCATTTCACATATATTTGTATAGTACAATCAAACACAATATCATGGTTCATGAACAAAAGTTGTAGTACTATTATAGTAATTGTTTTCACAGGGAATTTTTTGTTTTTCATGAGACAAATATTTCATGCGTCACCATTGATACAATGACCTCAAAACAATAGACAACATTGACTTGCCATAAGCAATGTCCCTTTTGGTTTTAAATGTTTATCTTTATTCGTCCTGAGTAATTGATATGACAAGGAATCTACACATAGTGCGACTGTTACATTATCCTTTGACCTCAAAATCGATAGCAGACATTTACATTTCATGAGTAACCTACACACTAAATCTTAACAATAAGTCATGGTGACCTTTTTCGGCCTAATGGCTGCCAAATGACTAAGAGTCATCTGCTAGTTATGACAAACCTCCAAACAAGCCCTCCTGATTATTGTCCAAGCGTTCCCCAGTTATTGATAGGAAAAACTTTTAAGTCCATTTTAACCATGGAGATCTGCTGACCTCTTATTCCATATGGGACATTTATTATTTATAAAGAACGTTCACACACAATCTCTAAGATTATTGCCTACTTACATTCTTGCATGCTAAATCATAAGACTTTATGTTAAAGCGGTCCTAGTTACTGGTTATACAATCTA